CCCCCCCCCCCCCCCCCCCCCCATCTGAAAAAAAAACCATCCCCTCCTCCCATTCCCTGAAGCTGATTTTTTCGTCCCCAAGCTTCCCTCCTACAGATCTGAGCAGGTCCCGGGTCCAGAGAAAAGAGAGGGGAAGAAAAGAAAGTTTCGAGTCCAGAGAGAAGAGAGAGAGAGAGAGAGAGAGAGAGAGAGAGAGAGAGAGAGAGAGAGAGAGAGAGAGAGAGAGAGAATAACATAAACCAAACCCTCTTGGATGGCTTGAAAAAATGGAGAATGGGAAAAAAAGGGTGGCTTTTTTGAGGTCTACACAAAATTATCAACTTTCTTTTCGCCTTGCCTCGTTCCCTTTTTCTTTCTCCGTTCTTTTTCTTTTCTTTTTTTTTTTTTTGGTTATTAATGCTCCATTCTATTTGTGGGGAGCTGCACCTACTGGAAACCACGTCCAGCGTCCCTTAATAACATCTTCTTTAGATAGTAATAGGGTGAACAACTCACGAAGCCTAATTACTGCATGGTACCAGTCGAAGTCGACGTCGTCTTCTTCCGTCTTCTTCCGTCTTCGTCGTCGTCGTCGTGGTCGCCATCTCATGTGGGTTTGGAAGGTAGCGTTTGAGAAGCGTGTCGTGAAAAAAGTGTGGCCGCTGTTGGTCACTCAGTATTCTTTTTCTTAAAAAAATAAAAATAAAAAAAATCCTGGGGAAATTGCGCGTGTCAAACTGAGAACTGTGCATGGGGAGAAGAAATGCAAATCTGGCGATTCTTGTACGAGAAGCATGCTATGGCCACTGTTTATCCACTCTTCTTCTTCTTCTTCTTCTTCTTCTTCTTCTTCTTCTTCTTCTTCTTCTTCTTCTTCTTCTTCTTCTCTGTCTCTTTTTTTTGCCTTCTTCTTCAGGGAATTTTCAAGAAGAAGAAGGGAAAGAAAAAGGGAAGAAGACGACGACGACAACGAAGAAGAAGAAGAAGAAGAAGAAAGAAGAAGAAGAAGAATGATAAACAGAGGCCATAGACTGTCCTTTGTGCACGCTTCACAAAATGATTAGCAGTACAATGCCGCGCATGCTAGACGAAGAAGAAGAAGAAGAAGAAGAAGAAGAAGAAGAAAATGTGTGTGCATTGACTCGCTCGCCATTATCTAGCGCATTTTCTCTCACATTTCAACTTGAAAAAAACTGTTTTTGTTTTTGTGAAATTGTTTGGTAGCTGTGCTTTATAGCAGGCTTCTTGATTTGGCGAATGCTTTAAAAAAGGAGAGAAAAAAGAAAGAAGGGGAAAAGCTCGAGAAGACTATGATTCTGCTGCTTTTTAAAGGGTGGTTTGGTACCTCCTGCCTTTTTATTTCTGTTAATTTAGAGAATTTTCTCGATTTTCTTCTCCAGTGTTTTTGGAATTTTTGTCCTGTATTCTGACTCTCTTTCTCTTTCTTCCCAACTAAATGCGTTACTGTGTCACCAGGAAGCAAAAACAGAGAGAGAGAGAGAGAGAGAGAGAGAGAGAGAGAGAGAGAGAGAGAGAGAGAGAGAGAGAGAGAGATGGAGGCGGCCGGGGTGGCTACAAGGTCACTGTGGAATCAGTCAGGCAGCCAAAGTGTTTTGAAACGGTTGGCAGAGCTTAGGAGAGTGGGAGGGGCAGCAGGGGGAGAGGGAGGAGGTGGAGGTGGGGGAGTATTTGGCGGCGGGAGGTTGTCAGGGCCACAGACTTTTCCAAAAGGGAATAATTTGTGCAAACCTGCCACGTGGCAGTCGCTGAAGAACTGCAACAACTCGTTATTATTATCCTCATCTGAGTGGGGCACCCTAGACACGTGCCTGCTGGATCCACGTGGGAATCGCTGGAGAACTGCAGAATCGGTGGGAACGGTGGTTGCTACTGCGTCTCATCTCTTCAAGCGATGGATGGCATCAGGTAAGGGAAAGAGTATCTGCGAGAGATGTTTTTGGAGGAGTCGAAGGTGGAGGAGGAGAGAGAACGAGTCACATGGGCACAACTCAATTGTCACGCTAGGGGGAGGTGGAAGCATCAGACAGGCAGCAGCAGCTAGGAGACAGGAGACGAAAGGACAGGGTACAAGAGAAATAGGAGAAGTAGGTGGTGACACACTCCATGGTACCGTCCATGTGTGTGTGTGTGCCCCCCAGCAGCAGCTAGTACGGGGTTTGGACAACACTAGATCCTTCGGTGGAAGGGTGCTGCCCTCCTTGCGAGCTGCAAAAACAGGCAGGGAAGGGAGGAGGAGGGAGGGGATCGGAATTGTCCCGATGGTGTATTCGAGATGGGTGAGGTCAGTGGCAGGGCAAGTAAGACTGGATGAGGATAACTGCCACGTCAGCAATCAGGAGGAGAAAGGCCAGGACCGACTTCAGACTCACAGCAGCATGAAAGGTTCGGCGAAGTTTCAGCGAGCCTTCCGGCGCGGCGGCTGGACTGATGGTGATTACGCTGACCAGAGGAAAGAGGAGGAGGAGGAGGAGGAGGAGGAGGAGGGGAAGGAGGTGGTGATGACACGTGCCCGAAGAGGGCAATGGAATCCCAGAAAAGACCACCACAACAAGGATGGTAATGGTCATTATAATTATGATGGCAGTAGAAACAGTAGGGCTAATAAATGGTGGGAAGAAGGGGAGGAGGGTGAGGAGGAAGAAGGAGACAGGGGGGGATGGGACACAGGTTTGCAGTCATCGCCATCGCCCCCATCGCGGCAAGGAGCTTGGAATAGAACTGCAAGAGGTGGAGAAGGAAGAGGATATGGGAGAGGGTATGGTGATGACATGAAAGATAGATCCTTCAGAGGAAAGAGAGGAGGGGATGGAGATTGGGAGAGGACAGGAGTGGACTGGGATGAGAACCGGCCTGTGCGCTCAATGCGTGGCGTCTCTCGCGGTGGAGGAGGGTCTGAGAGAGAGCAGGCAAGATGGAGGGAGAGGGAGGAGGAGGAGGAGGAGGAGGAAGAGGAGCAGAGGGAGCCAGGGGAGGGGACCTGGGATCATGGAAGGGAACAGAGAGGTAGTGGGAGAGAGAGAGGATTTTCAGGCCGCCGTGCAGGTTCCACTGATCGTGCCAGAAGTGGTGGCAGTGCTCATTGGCAAGAAGGACGGACAGGTGGAAGATTTGGGGCAAACAGCAGGACGGAAGGCTATGGTAGGGAGGAGAGTGAAGAAGGCGAGGGGAGGGAGAGGCTGACCACGATAAAGAGGAGAATCCTTGGAGAAATCATTTACGGCGTTAGCCCAGTCGTTGCTGCGCTTGGCGCTTTGCGAAGAGAGATCTACGGTCTGTATGTGCAGGAAGGCCTAGAGTCCAAGCGGAAAAAGGACAGGAGGGGAGTAGATATGGTGATGAAGAAGGCGGACGAGCTCCGGCTTACTGCAGAAACCGTCTCCAAGCATGAGCTGAACCTTCTGTGCGACAATCGACCTCATCAGGGCCTGGTCCTAGATGCAAGTCCTCTTCAATTTGTTGACGTCAAGGAAATTCCTCCACCGGAAGAAGACAAAGATTGGCAGCATCTTCCAGACGGCAGGTGGGTAGCTACTTCTTTTTTTTTTTTTTTTTTTTTTTCCAGAATAGACATTACAATAAACATACAACTCCCACGCTTCCTTCCGTCTGTCAGATACATTGATTGCTCCACCTTGATGGAGGATTGACTGTCAGCTTGTCGTGCCTCACTCTTTCCTCTCAGCTCTGATAACCAGATCTGTCAGATACAACCCTGCTACCTAGAAAGAGTTCCCTCATTTGTCCAAGCTAGCCTTTATACCCACGCTTAACCGTTCTGCCCGTGATCCACTATACCCCCTCCTATCCCATCTTACCTTTTCTCCTTTTATATCTCTCCTACCTGGCTGCTTCCTTAGGACAGAGATATCTCTGTTTTTCGGAACTTTTTCCCATATGTATTAGCTATTTTCTAGACGATCTATATTAGCTAATTTTTTGATTTTTTGATGTGTAGAGATTGTTATAGATGTATGTAGCCTCACCGCTGCACATTGATAGCTGCAGTTTACCTGCAGTTATCGATACAGTTTACTGCAGGTACCGATACAGTATACTGCAGTTATCGATACAGTTTAC